TCTCCTCATTTATTTTGACCTTTGTCAAATGGCTTAACTAAAGCTAAAAAATGACAATTCCTTGTTTCGCTGCCTGTTGCGGCTTCATTATGGACCTTTTTGTCAACTTTGTGAGTAAAATAACAGTCTGTGGTTTTCTGTGGTCTGTGGTTGCTGTTAAATATAAACTATAATGGAATATTGTTTATTGCATAAGTTTTGTTCCTTCACAAAACATATTTTGAATGGCCATCAGTGAAAGAGGATTTATGCAGCCAGGTCATTTTAATTTGAAAGTTTGAGTATTTAAATTAAGTTAAAGAATTTTGTTAAATTAAATTAAGAATTAAATTAAATTAAATTACGAATTTAGTTAACATTAATGGTCACACTTTATTTTAAGGTTCAATTCTCACCATTAATTTCTCACCTAATTTGCTGCTTATTAATAGTTAGTAAAGTAGTCATTAAGTTTAGGTATTGAGTAGGATTAGGAATGTAGAATATGGTCATGCAGAATAGGCATGCTAATAAGCAACTAGTTAATAGTGAGAATTGGTCCATATACTAAAGTGTTCACACATTTATTGTATGCCAAGTAATGATATTTTATTTATTTATTATTGATGGATTGATTGTGGTTTTACTTTTAGTTTTAGTTAATAATGATAACCCTGCCCTTGGTCTGAACAAACAGAACCAAATTCATTATCATCAAAATGGAAAGATGGGATTTGGAAAGCATATCAGAATGTTGTACAGCATATTATGAAGCTGATTTTGCAGTAGAGACAGATGAAGAACGCTAGTGTTCAGCTAACAGAGACTCATGGGATTTCTTTCCCAAGAGCAGACAGAAAAGACTGTGAAGAAACAGGGAGACAGACAGACAGGGTTTGCGCAGTCTGTTGGGATCTCTGGAGCAGTAAAACATGGTGATGTGTGGCAGCTGTTGATGTTGAGAAGGGCAGCGTTGTCTCTTTCTCTGGTTCATCTGTTTCATGACCAATTTCTTCCCCTGTTGCGTTTCCTGTAGCTGCAGCATTCTGGTGTCTGTTGCCATCAGCTGTCCTCTCTTTTCTGTCTCTGACGCTCTTGTCTTCGTATCGCCGAGGCTTTGAAAGTTTCTGTGCCACTGTGACTTTGCGTTGCTGTAAGTGAGCCGTCTGAGGCCGCTGTAATGATAGCCTATCCAGAGCCATCTGTCTTACATCTGCCAGCGCCGGCCCTTTGAGAGCCACGATGAATCAACACAATGATGGCAGAGTTTTGGGCTGCTGAGGAAACAAACAGGACATTTTTTGAACATTCACAACCAATGGTGGATCCTGATATAGGCGACGACGCAGATCAGAGGTTTAGCTCACTATTGCACTTGAATAGAATGGGAGTTGTGATCTACAATAGCATCTTTTCTCATTAGAAGGTTAAAAAAAGCTGTATGCAAATGTATATACAAAAATATGTGTATCCTGTAGCAGTAAGAACTTTTTAAAGAAGTTTTTATTTTTAATTATCATTTTGCCTTCATTAGTCCATGGACCCTACAGAGGAGAAGCAGTTTAGAAGATAGATAGATAGATAGATAGATAGATAGATAGATAGATAGATAGATAGATAGATAGATAGATAGATAGATAGATAGATAGATAGATAGATAGATAGATAGATAGATAGTTCAAGAGATAGATGACAGATAGATAGATAGATAGATAGATAGATAGATAGATAGATAGATAGATAGATAGATGACAGATAGATAGATAGATAGATAGATAGATAGATAGATAGATGATAAATAGATAGATAGATGATAGATAGATAGATAGATAGATATATAGATAGATGGTTCAATAGATAGATAGATAGATAGATGACAGATAGATAGATAGATAGATAGATAGATAGATAGATAGATAGATAGATAGATAGATAGATAGATAGACGTGTTAATTTAAGTAAAATATTATGTCAATTAAATTGAACTTGACTGTAAAGCATATTTTCATATGTTCATATTATGTGTGTATATTATATAATATAATTCAATATTTAATATATATTGAATATATGCTAACACTTTACAGTAAGGTTTTTTTTCTTTACAGTAATAGTTATTAAACGATATTTAAGGGACATTTAAAAACATTTGGTGTTGGACTAATGTTAAGTACTTTAATAATTTGATAATATATTGTTACCAGAAATTATATATATATAATTTATAATATATATAATCTGTCATATATATATATATATATATATATATATATATATATATATAATGGACTATTCGATCAGAGCAATTTTTTTACATGTATTTTTTATTTCTTGAAATATATATAAAATATGTATTACATATTATACTATTATTCTATATTAAATAATGTTTTACTATTTTTATGTACTTGAGCGATGTGAGTTTAAAACTGTATGCACAGTTATGACATTATTTTGTTGTTTTAGTATCTGACTCACTAAAGGATTTTCTCTAAAAAACAGATAATGGCACAACACATGTTTTAAATGCAACTTCTCACTTTGTGGGTCTGCTCAGAGTTGTAGGTTAAGGAGGACTACTATGCTACAATCTACACAATAAAGTGGCTCAACTTTTTAGTGATTTTGATATAATGGACTATTCGATCAGAGCAATTTTTTTACATGTATTTTTTATTTCTTGAAATATATATAAAATATGTATTACATATTATACTATTATTCTATATTAAATAATGTTTTACTATTTTTATGTACTTGAGCGATGTGAGTTTAAAACTGTATGCACAGTTATGACATTATTTTGTTGTTTTAGTATCTGACTCACTAAAGGATTTTCTCTAAAAAACAGATAATGGCACAACACATGTTTTAAATGCAACTTCTCACTTTGTGGGTCTGCTCAGAGTTGTAGGTTAAGGAGGACTACTATGCTACAATCTACACAATAAAGTGGCTCAACTTTTTAGTGATTTTGCCCCATCAAACAGCCTTCGACCAGCTTTTCTGTCCTTTGCCACCAAAAGGATAGGTTACTCCCAGCAGGAGCTCTCTCTCCCTTCCTCTGTGTTTATTTCTCACCCACCACACCTGATAAATGAACAGCAGCTGTGTCCCAAATCCACAGGCAAATAAACCTGAATAAACACAAAGCTTGTCGTTTACACAGGTCGGTGTAATCCCATAATCCTTTGCACGTACGTCCTAACCTTCCCGCCGCCCCCAGCGCTGCCAGCTCCAATCAGCTGCTCACCCGTGTGGCACCCTGTTCAGAGGTGACCCCGCTATAATGGAAGCAGCTTACTGATGTCCAGAGGTGGAGAGGTGTAGGAGATTACACAGGCTTTAGTTTGTGATGTTCACTTGACCTTACATACTCAATGCAAAGATTGTTTGAAAGAGTCAAAAGAATGATTGAGATGGATGAGACTCTGATTACGGACAGTCTGACCGCTGTACTTATGTTAGGGTCAAACTTATTGAGTCACACTGTTCATCCTCATCATCTTTGTGACCAGTCTTTTTATGCTGAACTGTACATTTTTTACACTTTTAACTCTACATTCAGTTACTTTGTAGGAGAAAAGAAATTCAACTTTTCTATGTTTACATGGTTATTATTTAAAGATGTATCAATTTATGGGTCTGTATGTACATATACAGTCTGAAATTCTGTGACGTTTCCTCATATATTTGTATTTTATGATTTTAACATATATTTTAAATCAACATTTTAACATAAAAATGCATTTACATTACTTAATTACAATTTAATCATAAGTTTCTCATGGACATATACTGTACTTATACAATAAAGTCTGAAACCACACTGAAAATATGATACTATAAATTGATATTATAATGTTTTCTTATTTTGATTTTTATATTCCAAGCTCTGATTTTGTGATTAAAATCAGTTAAAATATTTTAATGTTAAAAAACACATTTATATTTGAAGAGTTCATTTGCAAAAACCGATAAACGGCACTTTAAAAAAAAAACGAGCTGATTGCCGTGCATTATTCTCCACATATAGCGCGATCTGAACCCTAAACACGTTTTGTCAAAAAAAGCCGGTTTTGTTCACTTTCAAGGCATCGCGAGTTCACGTTTTACTGCAGAAGCCGACAAGCGCCATTGTTGTTTTTGAACAGAAGCCGATAAGTCCATTTTAGCGAATCAGCGCGCTGTATTCAGGTCAGGTGACAAGGCTACTTTCACTTTGAAAAGACGTGCTTTCGTCAAAGCTGACTAAAAGTGATCAAGGGTGGATAATTTCGACGAACTTGATGAACCTATGATATCTTCTTCAGGGCGAGAAAGGAAAATAAAAGCTGAAATGTTTTCACGGAACCTTGCAAAAGCAGCGCGTTACAATGGTGAGGGAAAAGCCCCGTGTATTGCGTGTAATCACATCCATATGGTTTATGATCACAACAACAACGTTTGTCAGGCATCTACATTGTCATCTGCTGTTTTTGTTTAAGTTATTATTACTTAATCAAAACAACCCAACTGCAGTTTGATTGATATTACTTGGAATGCGCAATAAAAAAAAACGTGATTTCTGAAAAATTTTTTAAATGGAGTTATCGGTTTTTGCAAATGAATTCTTCATTTCTTAATCATTACAAATTGATTTAAAATATTTTTTAAGACCGGAGTTTTTTATAGATCTAAATGTACAAATAGAGTAAAGTCTGAGACATAATTGAAAGTCCGCAACTTTTTTTTTTTTTATTTAAAAATAAACGGAACGCTTCAGTTTCTCTAGAAATTTAAAACAAATAAAACTTTTGACATAAAATGATTATTTAGATGGTTCACATTTTCTTGGTTACAATCAAATGTAAGCAAATTGAAGCAAAATAGACACCAAATGCTAAGCGATTCTGTTAATTCAACAACTACGCTGTAACAAGGACACCTTAAAATAAAGTGTAACTGTAAAACATGCTGAAAATAAATTGTTTTTCACGTTTATTATTAGCTCATGTGTCTCTACATGTCGCCCCCTGCAGGTGCGGTGGACCAAGACAGCAGGCAGCGCTTCCGACAAGTTCCAGGAGACGTCCATCTTCAATGAGACTCTACGGATCCCCAACATCCAGAGAGTGCAGGGCGGCCGCTACTACTGCAAAGCTGAGAACGGGGTGGGGGTGGCTGCCATCAAGTCCATTCGTGTAGATGTGCAGTGTAAGTGATAGGGCCATGATCCCTCCTCTTCCCGGCCTGATCCCTCCAGGATTTCCTGCAGGAGGTGAATCAGTGTGAACTCTCCAGAGCTCCATCTCTGTCCTAGTGCTGGATATCGGTGTGAGAGGTTATGGAAAACAGGAGGGGAAACCATGCTCAGTTGAGCTGCCAAGACAAAAGAGGAAACAAATTGTAACACCCAGCAACTTTTGAGGAGATTTAATGAGCAGTGATTGATGGACATGTGGGCTGCACTGGACAGATGCGTCTGGAGAGTTCAGGTGAATGAATTGGAAGGATCTCGAGTGAGAGTTGAAGCCGTAGTTCAGGCAGGGTCACACTCTTTATGTGTGTAAGGGATTCCCTGCAGTGCTGCCCAGCACCACTGACCCACTGTCCCGTTGAGCCAAGGGTCAGGTCAGCGGCGACAGCCAGACCCCACAAAAAGCACCTACAATAGACCCCTTACGCTCTCAGATCAACCTCACATTCAACACTAACAACCTTAAGGGGTATTCACTTAGAACTACTTTTGAATTTTATTTAAAATTTTTTATTATTTTTTATTAAACTGGATCTCTTCCCAAATCATCTCTCCCTAACATTTTTGTCTCGTTTTTAAATTTAATTCATAGTTTTTGTCATTCAAAATGAGTTTTTATTTCGTTATCATCTCGGTTTCATCAGAAACAATGTAAAAAAAATTAACAGACTGAGACCTCATTGAAAGCCTGCAACTTTTTTCATTTAAAAATGTAAACAAACAGAAAGCTTAAGTTTCTCTAGAACGGTTACATTCAACACTAACAACCTTAAGGGCTGTTCACTCAGAACTAGTTTCGATTTTTTTTATGTATTAAAATAAATTAAATACAATTTATTAAAATGTATAAAAAAGCAATAAGCAAAAATATGTACCTTATTTTATACATACATAATGGTTAATATATATATATATATTACATTTTATATTGTTTTTATATTTTTTGATACATACTGTATATAAATATATGCACTCTATTAATATATATTTTGAATTCAAATTAAATGCATCCTTTTATACACAATTGTAAAAAATAATTGTGGTAATTTTTATTGCTTTTTAAAATCTTAAATATTGTTTAACTATACAGTTCAAAAACCTACTGTAATTTTTGTTATAACATTTTTAGATTATTTATTATATAATCATTTATAGCAATTTATAATTTATATAATTTCACCTTTTTAAAAATTTTTCTCTAATTTACATTTAAATTTTATATTAAGTATATTTGAAAAAAAATACTGAATTAAAAAAAAAATTAAAAACAAACTTTATGAAATATTCTCAAAAAAGTGTACATATATTATACAATTTTGCTTAAAATTAAACACGTATTGTATATCAGAAGTAAACAAAAAAATGACATATAATCATTTATAGCTATTTATAATTTATATAATTTCACCTTTTTAAAATTTTTTCTCTAATTTACATTTAAATTTTATATTAAGTATATTTGAAAAAAAATACTGAATTAAAAAAAATATTAAAAACAAACTTTATGAAATATTCTCAAAAAAGTGTACATATATTATACAATTTTGCTTAAAATTAAACACGTATTGTATATCAGAAGTAAACAAAAAAATGACAAAGGTCTTGAGATTCATTTTTATGAGGCTTGCTTCAGAAATAATGGACAGCAGAAAACAACAAAACAGTCGAAATGCTGCTAATTGGTCAAAAAACGTCCGTTTACTGCATGTTAGCACAGAGAAACAATTAAACGGTTAGCAAAACAGACAATTAAGTGTGGTGGAATGCAAAAGCACGTTCTGTGTGAACTGGCTCTTATTCTTTCACCCTCACGACTTTGCACGTCTCTGTTGCAACATATTGTAACCCCTCACAGACTTTTATATGCTTAATTTACTTCCAGCCGCTAACACTAAGATTCAGTCAGCGATCTCCCTCTGCGATATTCGACCATCACGCTTCCCCCATGGCCCCTCCTCGTCCCCCAGAGGATGGATGTGTTGTTCCATAGGGTTCCCCGGGAGAGGATGATAATTGTGTAGCAGGTAAACAGGGCAGGCTGACAGCTGCTCTGAGTGGAAGCACTCCTGACGGGTGATTCTTGTTCAATTTTCCCCCACCGGCTCCGCGCGGCTCTCCCGATGACTTTAGCACCACAACACCAGCAATTAGACTCAGCCAGACCAGAGCGACGAGGCACGGCACGGACCACCCACCACACACACACACACACACACACACACACACACAACGTCGCCCCTCAATCTTCTACAGCACCAAACCCTATTACTGAGAGAAAAGAGAAGTAAGAGAGCAAGTGTGAGCTGTGAGATGGAAAGGTGAGAGGTACAGAAGGTGTGAGATATAAAGATGGAAGAATTACGAAAATAAGAGCCTCGGAGTGGCCTGATTCTTTTGTCGGGCTGAATAAAAGATCCATGCCGCTTTTATAGCACAACGCCAGCGTTAACACGCGGCCGGTTTGACACAAGCAGAGTATTAAGAGTTATTTAGTTGAAAAAGTGATGACAAATCGCTCTCTTTTTCCATTACCTCATTTTCCTGTGAGGTCTCTATTGGTTCATGGCTACGTCCAGGGTCGTTTTAATTTGTTCTGTTGAAGGGACTTTGATATAACCAGTCACTGTTCCGTGTGTGCTGTGCTAAAGCTGTTTGCCTGATTTTATGTCAGCATATTTAATCTATTTAACCTCAGCCTGGCACATGCTACAGAGCCAGACAGCCTTAGTTAACATCAAAGAGAGAGAGAGATGTAGGAGGAAGTGAGAGGTACAGAGCAGCGATGCTCAAAACTACATATTTTCAAAATGAAATAGTCTGCGGTTTGTCAGAATTATTATTCCAATAATTAGGTATAATTAGGCTGCTTTAGGGTTTTGCTTTCAAAAACTACTGGACGAGAGGGGTTAGAGGCATATGTTCAAAAGTAATATCCGTTAACTAGACATGTTGTAAACCGCAATTCTACTTACATATTTTCTTAATTTGTATTTTTGTCTTGTTTTACAGTAAAAATATGTAAACATAATTGAATAGGATATATGTGCTTAATAGGCTTATATTATGCAAAACTGCATAATGTATTAAGAAATGTATTTTCCCTTCTTCTTCACTATATTTAACCTTATAACAAGTTAAAACGATGTTATTTTAAATTAAATGTAATTAAAAAAAATATTTATATAATTTTTTTTATATACAATTATTATTATTATGGTCTTTTTAGATTTGCACAACTTTGACATACTTTTAAAATATTTTGTAAGAAATTAAATTATTTGAATAATTTAATGATTTTAATTAAATGTAATAATTTTATATTTTATATAAATAAAATATTTATATATTTATTTTATATAAAATCTCGTTGTAAGAATGAGATCTAGCGAAGAAGAAAAAATATCCTTTTTAATATATTATGCAATTTTGTGTAATATATTAAGTAAATATATATATATATATATATATATATATATGTATGATTTTTTACTGAAAAACAAGACAAAAATATTAAGTAATCAAAATATGTTATAAGCGTTGCATTGTATTGCATGTTGAGGTAATAGATATTATAAAAAGTATTATTACTATAATCAAAGAGTAAACTTATTTGAAAATATATATATGAAGACAAGTCTTAATATATTATGCAATTTTGCTTCTCAAGTAAATGTATCTTGTTTTAATGATTTGTAGATAGCTGATGAACAAGACAAATATTGGGATAAAGGTTTTTTTTGACAGTGTAGTCAGGTGTTGGGCGACTAGTTGATGATCCTGACCAATCATGTGCAGCTAATGCAGATATTGATGGGAACTGAGAAGCCATTAAACACACACACACACACACACACACACACACACAAACACACACTCAGTAGGTGTTTTATTTATTTTTTGTGCGGGCAGGCCAGTCTTTGACCGTGGCACTTTGGCCAGTGAGACAGTGGGTAACTGTTCTGGGGTCAGCGTGCCTCTACTGTAAGGATGGACTTGGTTCAGAGACCCAGTTCTCACCCTTTCATTCATTCAGCACAGTTCAGATCACACAATCCAGCACCAGGTAAGCAAGACAAAAGCATGTGTGGAGCGGCTGGTTGGGTGAACTGTACACCAGACATATTTATTCACTGCAAAATATTTTCTTTGACAATTCTTGTGTACATTTTCAGTATTTACATTTCATTCTGTCTAGATGGATTCAGTCAGGTATGTGGGCATAAGTCACTGAATCCTAAAGCAGATTACTTTCAATTAATAAATGATATGATACTGCTGTGGTATTTCACACTGTTCATTTGGTAGAATATGAAATGCAATAAAAATGATATGTAAGATTATTTGTAGTTATATTAATCATTATTGCATTTTTGCCTAAGCAATGTAGTCTTGAACAGTCACCACTGGCACAAACATGTACAGTATGTAGAAACACATGGTCATTTTTACTGCCTCTTCACACAAGTGCCACTTTCTGAAGTATTTGAATAAGATGTTATGAGCTCTTAACACATCCTGAAGATGTGAAATGTTTACACTTGCATTTGTTTCTTCCCAGATGAAATTTTCATTGCTCAGTGGTTGCTCTTTCATACAGTACCTCAGGAGATGTAATGGTATTTTTTTAGGTTTAAGTATTGAATTTGTCTTAGATGTTTCTCCTAAAACTCCTTAGAGAGTTAAAAGTATGGAGCTATTAAATGAATGTAGCGAGTTTTGTCTGGGAGGATTTTGATGAGAAATGTTTGAGCTCATATTGAGATCACTGACTTTTGTATCTTGTCAAATCAATTTGAAGCATTTTTGAGTAATGATGCTGAAAATTCAGCTTTTGCATCACAATTACATTTCAAAATATATTCAGATAGAAAACAGTTATTTACATTTTAATAATATTTCACAATATGACTGTTTTTGCTGTATATTGGTGAGCAGAAGGGGCTCAAAAATATGAAAA